AAAATTGCAGCTGATCCAGCGGACTTATGAGCTCCTTACCCATCATTGGAGTCCCTGCGAGAAGAAAAAAAGAGGTAACACGAGTAAGATTATTAGTCCTGTATTGCAGGAGACGTCATCCATTGCATCGGGGAGTCATCTGAATCGATAGTTTTGGGAAAAAGTGCAACAAGAACGGACGCTTTCATTGGGAACCTAATTTTACATTGAATATATATCTATATACTGGAAAACTCCAATCCAAATCCACTACTACCGTACGGCAAGTCTTTTTTGTCCCTCCAGGACGATGTCAGCTATAGTGGTGCTTATAGTGTCCTTTCTGCAGGGTGGAGTAGCGGAGAAAGCGGATGTTGTCATCATCATCGTTGGAAAGGCCGACGTTCGCTTTGTCTGAGGGTTTTCTGGCCGTTCTCGAAGGGGCTAGTTTCTTCGGGTAATAGGGGCATTCCTCGAGACACACGAACGGACACCGTTCATTCTCCAAATAGTCTATCTTTTTCCCCACCGGGCCTCGCACATGCGTGCTCATCAGCACAGGCGTGTAGTGCGGAATATCCATCGCTAACGCCTCGGCCACTTCCACGTTCATGAGGTAGCCTCGCCGCATCCTCTCCGCGTCCACCAAGTGGGCGAGGCGCATGGCAAGAAGCAAGGGTTTGCTTTCGATATGATGGAGATGCGCAATCGTCTGCCATAGGCTTGCCTCAAGCCGAACGATCTTCTGGCGCATCTCCACCTCCTCCTCGAGGGTACTCCGCGTTTGCTCCCGCAGGCGGTATTCCATCCACTCCTTCTGGCGTCGCCATCTCGCTTCTTGTTCCTCGATCGCCGTATCGCGAAAGTGGAGGAAAAATTGCATCGATTCCCTGCTAAATTTCTCGCTCGCCACGACGTCGGCGTAGCCCATCCGCTCTTCCGAAACGAGACTCTGCCGAGCCTTTTCCTCGCGACTGACGAGCTGCTTTCGTCGCCTCTCATGGAGTTTGACGGATCTCTGGATGCTTTCTTCATCTACCTCCGGGATGTTCACATTTTGCACCAGATCAAGTGACTCGGACACGCGTTTGAGCGTTTTCGATGGCATCGTCAGGGGCTTGTAGGTGACGGCCCCGCTATGGCTTAGGCCCCTTTTTCGATTCGTGAGCCACATCCCATCTACACACAAGGGGCAGGAAAGACGAGACCAAAAGCGGCGATTCTTCAAAATACGCAGTTGCTATCACCACCTGCACCGCACCGTTTTGGGGAAGAGGGCCCGGAGATGCGAGATTCGATATGTGCGAGGCGGACGACCCTTTTTGCGGGTTAATATACATAAAGCTAGGGCTATTACACCATAGGTAGATCCAAAGATGGACGAAAAAGATCGACAGAAGGAGAGAGAGACGTGTGCTGTTGAGACCATCATTTAGTGGATTCCGCAATACCCGTAGGCTTCCCCACGAATGGGTGGATCCTAGCGAGCGGTTTCATTGACGTGGCCTCCAAGGCGGCAACGGGGTTTCGTTTCATTATCTGGTATACTTCCCCCTTCCCCTTTCAAAAAATTCTATCGGCCCTACTCTCCTTAAATATTTAGCATTGGTGAATGTCGGATCACCTGCTGGCGTTCCGGACAAACCAAGAATTGGCTTTGATAACTTATCTATTCCTTTTTTATTCTTTCCCCCAACCCTCCCCCCCCTGACGAGGCGAGCTAGGCCTTATTCTATCGACCCCGCTAAATCCCAATCGGCGGAGGCCGTTGCTCGTTTCCTCTTCCTCTTCCATTTCTTTTTTACTTTTTTTGACTTGCTTCGCGAGCTCACACGGCGTCCGCGGCGGACCTCTGCGCGAGCCACCCCGCGACGACGCGGAATTCCTCGGTCGAAAGCACCCTCTCCGCGAGGT